GCAGGGCTAATGATTTCTGCGAAGATGCTGCTTACGCGTAGACTAGAGATGAATGAACCAAGCAACACAATCCAAACGATAATTGGAATCTAACTAATGGTGCAAAGGTTTAAAAGTGTTACAGTAATAATTAATCACAATATACTCAGAATATTATTAATTTGGGAATTCCGCAACATCTATTCCCCTTCAATTTTTCCTTTTGTTTCAAATAGGAACATGCATTTTAATGGATATTTCTATATCTCTCTCGGGAATATTGGACTTTGACCTCAGAGACTAGGCTGACACTGCAATGCAGTTCTGTGGAGTGCTTTGCATCAAAGGACGTGCTGTCCTTTTCTTCGAATGAGACGTTAAGTCGAGGACCCGTCTGCCTATTCAAGTGGACATTAAAGATGCTGTGGCACTCTTCAAAGAGAGAAGAGTTTCTCCTTGTGTCTTGACCAACAATCCTCCAAATAAACTGTATCATTCACTTGATGATACTGTCCTTTCTCCCCATATCTGTGCCATGACCCGCTCTGCCTTCCCCCGCCTCCGCAACATTGCCCGACTCTGCCACTGTCTCACCTCTCAGAGCACCAAAACCCTCAAACACGTATTCATCACCTCAAGGATCGACTACGGAAACTCCCTCCTTGTCGGCCTCTCCAGTCATCGATAAATAAACTGATGTCGAGAATATAGAAAAAAACCTACAGAATTTTCCATTTTATCAGATGATGATATCAAATATTGACATTCCACGGCTGGAGAAAAGCAAATGTTTGTATTGTTGCAGAAATCTCCACCCAAGTGCAATGGGACTTTACCTTTCCATCACACAATAATGCAAATAGCATTCAGACAAGGGTAAGTAATAAAGTTTAATGTACCAAACAGTCAAAGCTCCCATTGCCAGAACAGTAGACTAGATGTTTGCATAGGAAACTTTATTGGAATTCAGAGATTTTTAGAACACAATGTGACTCAAGGGAAACATTAGGAACAGAATGCAGTTTAGAAGAGAAAAAANGTACTCAAGGCTTGTTGTTGTTTTCTGGATATATTGAGAGACAAGAGAACGGGTTTGATTTTAATTTTGTTCAAAAATACATAGTGGAGTTCTGTAGCTCAGTGGGTAAGACCACTCGCTTTGCAAGCGAGAGACCTGGGTTTGATTTCCGGGCAGAGCGAAACGTTGGGCAAGTAGGAAGGAGGAACTTGGCTGTTAGTCGATTGGTGGATTGCTTTTCTGGGGGTAATAATTCCTTCAAAATAAATAATGATAAATTGGTGACTTCAACCCCGACTGTTTGTGGGGCACTGCTGTGTGCAATTGGTTGCCGCTTTTCGACCACAAAATACATAGTCAATTCACTTTACAGTATATTCTGAAGTGCTTTGACATCTCGAAGACGTGAAAAAGCGCTATATCAAATGCAATGATTATTATTATTATTTTGGGGTTTATAGGAATAACTGCTCTGTCACTCATATAAAATGTGAAGGTAATTGCTCTTGTGCCTTTCCCAGAGTTTACTTCTGCAGGACAGCAAGACTCGCAAGTGACAAAAGTAACAAGTAAATTAGAAAGCCCTTCTCACAAGTGGTATCAAAGCAAACGGTCGCATATAGAATAAAGCGCTACAACAATTCTCTGCAATTTTACATTTTAGGACAAAATGGTTACATTGACTAAGACAAGGTGGAATTTCGGGCCGCAGTACCTTCAGAAACAAAATCCACTATTGTCCATTCCAAGTAATGGCCCAGGTCAGAGCAGCCTGGCTTATTACACTGAAGTAGACATATTGCACACAGATCTGAATGAGCAAAAAGTCTTTTTACATTGACCCGGGTGGGAGATGTGTATCTAACTTTCCAAATGGATTACCATGGTTGGCTGGAATGCTAGGAATGCTCACAATGTGAGCAGTAATTATCAGGAGCCACTTTAGTGCCAGACACAGACACATTAAAAAGGTAAACCGTGCACATGGTATGGGCTTTTCAGTTTCTCTTCCTCTGAATGTGATCAAACCCACATCTTCATAGAACTAATTCCACAGAAAACAAACCTTGACAAGGACTCCCCAGTTAGTCTTATGGCTGCACAAAAGAAATACGTATTTATATTGTATCAGTCTCTGTTTTTCACAGGAACTGGATCATGAACTCTTTATGAACACGCAGACCTCATTTTTAAAGTAAAATCTCATTATTTCATCTATTCTATTTATTTATTCTCTTGCAATAACTTTTGAAGAGAAGAAAGTGAATGGAATCTGTGCTGAGAGGGGAGTGGGCCCTGAATTTGCCACCAGCAAATGCATCTGAATTCCAGGCCTGTATTCAAGTCAAGATAGTGATAAGCACCTGATATTGGTGTGATAAGCACCAAGCTCCCATCTGTAGCAATTTTGACTCAAATTCAATGCTGAGCTACATCTTTTTTTCCCCCCATAGTAAGATGTAAAATCTGCATCTAATACAGAATGTGTGCCCCAAATTGTGAATGGTTGTACAGAAGTATGTAAGGGGCTCATTGCCTTTGGGAGAGGGAGGGAAGAACATTGGAACAGGATCTGTACTCTGTAAGGCGGTATATCAAATGTAAGGATTTTTATTATTATATCAGTAAAACCTGTAAAATGGACACTGCTTGAAGCCAGGACCTGTCTGGGAGCTCCCTCATGTCTCCTGGAAACAGGACATTGGTTTCCTAGCCCCAGAGCAGAGCTGTGGAATTTCAAAGGTTTAGAAGAGTTTAAACACTGAGCCTGTCGTCCACAGTAAACACACGATTGCTTTGAGAAGCAACATTTGACTTGAAAAGTGCATCTCGCAAGATCTTGCCAAACAAACATCTTGTAGTGGACAATGTTGAAAGATCCCAGTGGGATTTGATGGGAAAACTGGTTTGTGCTAAAACAAGAGCCACAATTAACCAGCCAGCTTGGTGCGCTTTGCAGTCACTAGAAATATACTGACATCAATCCCACATCACATTACAACCTATAATAGAACACACTCGGGAACTGACAGGTCTGATATACATGTGCTGCTGACAAAAAAGATGTCAGGATGTCGAAAGTTCAGAGCCGGGGTTGGTTTTAAGGCAGAAACTCCAACCACAAAGTCTCTTGTCATTTCAGGAACAGCGTAAAGCCAGCCCCACAACAAACCCAGTGTTAGAATCAGAATAATACATTTCATATAGACTTTAGCTTGTTGTTGAGACGTCTCAAAGCACTAAACAGAATATACTGTAAAGTGTATTGACTGTGTATTTTGTGGGCGAAATGCAGCAGCCAATTATGCACAGCAGTGTGCCACAAACAGTCGTTGATTGAGTGACCACACTCTTGGGGGAGATATTCATTACCACCAGAAAGTGATCCGCCAATCAACTAAAAACTGAGTTCCTACTTACTGCTAGGTAAACAGAGACAGGTGAAGTAAGAAAATTTGCCTAAGGTTTCGCCCTTCATGGGAATCAAACCCCGGTCCTCTCACTTGTGAGGCGAGTGCTCTAACCACTACACTATGGAACTCCACTGTTGATCACATTCTTCCTAATGCACTGCATCCAACATAGCCATACACAGTAGGAACCAATACCAGTGTTAACACTTCCAGGCTTTAATTTAATGTGCAACTCTCTCCAGTTCTCAGGAACTTTACGGTCCAGGCTTGCAATGGGATCACAAGCTCAAGAATGTAAATTACTAGGACTAGCAAAGAGTGCATGTTAAACTCAAACTGCTTACTGTTTTCCAACAGGTTGCTTACACTTAATTTATCGAAAGTAAAAGTTAGATTCCTTCCTCTTGATTTTCTGTAATTGTTTACCTCAAGTTTTTGAGCAAGGTGTGTTATACTGTTAGTTTCACCATCTCGGAAACATCTGACCTGTTATTTTTGAGGTAAAACCTTGTGAAGAAATAATCCTGCATTAATTTGTTTAAATTTTGTATTCCCTCCCTCCCATTCTCAAGCTGCCTTGTATCAAGGCACATTCCCGAACCTCTAGAGAGATTAGCAGGCAAATTGCTCCCAGGCCTCTCTGCCAATGTTACTGTGCAACTCACTGATTGAAGGTATAGAGTAAAGGAAAATGCAAACCACACAAACTGACACACATTCACATACTGATGGACACACATGCGCCCGAGTGTACCGGCCTGCGCCCACGCATGCACAAGCACACACACAGTAAGGCAATGCACTTGGAAGAGATAGAAGGGAAATGAACCATCTTAAACTCAATGGCAGCCATGACACCATCGGCACTAAGATCATTTTAAGATTTACTCGAAGGTAAGGATTAAAAAGATTTCTCACTGAAGCATTGGGATATTTTGTCGGTTGCTTCAGAAATAATGTGCAGTGAAAAAGCCTGTCATACAATCCTGCACAGTTTGTCAGCACGCTAATGGGAGTCAGCGTGAAGCTACGGATGTCTGTGTAAATCACGGTGGCTGCTTCAGTGATTAACAACTGTACCAATGAGAATCAGTAAAGTGTAACATAATCAGAGACAAGGAGTTTGACTTTTAGACAATGTATTTGCAACACGAGGATGGATACCTTTTTTCCCCCTAAACAATTCTTATCTCATCACTGAAACAGTTGGAGCAAATTTAAAAATGAGCCGATGTGGTGTTTGCTCAGTAACATGCAGCAATTTAATGGGACATTGCCAAATACCAACATAAGAATTCTGGCTTCACTATCAACTGGAACTGTTAGACTGGTTCTTTCAGATCACAACATAGAACATAAGAATTGTTAGACAAAAGACCAAGGTCCATCCAGTTGGCCTTCCACCATCCTGGCAGTCGCTTGCAATTGTGTCCCAGACTATATACTGCATCCTGAGATATTATCGCCTAAAAGAAATCTATCTAATTTGCTTTTGAAAGAATGAATAGCTGTAAGTTTTTAAATTGTTGGATGTCAAACATCCAGGGTTGGGACATCTACCCTCCCCACTCCGTGTGCAGTGCACTTACCTGCCCAAGGTCAAGAGTAACGTTGACCTCATTGTACTCCAAACCCCGGGAGAGAGGAGGGCTCTGCCACCACCGCTCTGTCCCGTCGATGGCATTGGTGCTGGGATGAGCTTTGCTACTTTCCGCTTTGCAAATATCGCAATACTGACCCTGTGTTAAAAAGAAACGAGACGCGTTGTGAGAATCCCGTGATCATTGTCAACATGCAGTGTCCTTCTATTGCCATCGCCTTCTCCTTCCTGCTCCCCGTGAAGCCATCATTAGGCTATTCTATTACAAATGGATATTTCCATTTGGGATAACATTCATATAATATATACCACTCATAATATATAATAATGAAATATAATACCACTCATAATTTAATTGGCAAAGCATGTGTGATGGGATGATCAAATTTGTCTCCAAAGGCAGTATTATGTGCGTGTAAACACACCAGAGTTGATTCCTTAATTAAAATCACAGAACAGCTTCAGCCCAAGGCTACAGTAAAACAAGTGCCTCCGATTAATGAATGATGATGTGGTCATAAAACCAGTCTCAGTTAATTTCCTTACTGCTGTGCTGTTGGTAAATTGGACACTTTGCATTTTGTCAGGAGTCTCCTAGCAATGTATTTGTTTCTACATCAAAATGGATTGTTCTACATGTGAAACATTCACACCCTCCATGGAAACTGGTGCAAATATTTCAACATTCCCACTGCCATCCCAAAAACTCCCAGCGCACTGGCAACTTCCTCTTATTCACATTGCTCTTGGCTGCAGTGTAAATAACTGCAAGTCAATTTGCCAGAATCCAACAAAACAATGCACAAACAAAAGGCAGAATGGTTCAATGGGCTAATTTCAGGCCTTACAGCTTCAGGCGTGCATTGAACACTGCTTCCTGTCTTCCGAACAACAACTTGTATTTATATACTGCCCTTCACGTCGTAGAGTAATGTCTCAGATCACTTTACGGGATGTAGTTTGGCATGGAGCAGAGGAAAATGCAAACCAACACACACACACACACACACACAGAGGAAGGGATGGGGATAGAGCAATCAAAAAGGTAGGATTTAAACACAGTCACTCTCTATCATACAGAAAGGGTTACCAGATAGTCAACTCTTTTCAATTGGCAGAATGTGCTGTATCGCCAATTTAAGCCACGAAGAATGAAAACACCTATATTACTGCTTGGACAAAGTGAAAACAAATCGAGTGCTCTGGCCTGCTCTGCTCCTGGCTTGCATTCCTCTGCCCTTTTGACACCAGAGTGGCACACAACCAATTGCTATATTATGGCAGCAGAATATCTCCTCTGAGCTGTTGGCTGGTTGATCAAAGTGGCCAGTGTCACATCATGTATGAGGAGCCCAGACTGGTTGTCTCTTTAAAAGTGTTTGTTTTTCCAGGTATTAAGTTGAATTCACATTTGTAATAAAAATGTGCATTGAAAAAATGATAGGTATATTTTTTCTGAATGGGAGTTTCCTTCTGGCTGATGCATTCGCTCCCCATTGGTGATATAACTAAATACATTCATTGCACAAATAAATACATCAAAGTTACAATATTGGTTGATGGCTCAATGTTTTTTATTATGGATTAAAAAGACACCGAATCAGAAAGTGAGATCATTTAGCTTCTTGCTTAAAATAAATGGAACCTGACAATAATGAAACTAATGATTGCTGCACATGCTTGTGATGTTATTATTATATATTATTTGTGATTTTAAATGCAGGACTGAATTTGTTCTGCATCAGTGGTTTGGGTTCCCAGTGTGCTGTGTGATTCAAGTCAAACCCTTATGTTGCGTGGAATTCGCGTTATCAGTAAAGTCTTAAAGGGATCACAACTTAATCACATTATTTTAAAAAGACACCAGTGATTACATTATATTTAATTACATTTAAATTTCTAGCAGGTTTAGCATTTAACTGGAGAATCTGGGAGACTTTTAAAGTAAACTAACTGGTTTTAAATTCACTTGAAAAAATGTTGCTTTGTTTCTGCACAATGTTTGAAGAGAAACAAATGTGAGCAAATAACACAATGTTCGAGGTTTGAGAGATCTCTCACGCCACTCAGTGGGAGCAAAGCAAGAAATAAAATGTCTTGTTAACTAAACAGTAACAAAACAGCAAAGAGAATTGAAATGGGCCAGTGTCTCGTTCACCTCTTACTACAGACTGAGAGTGACAGGCACAGACCTGAGGGAACTTTGTGAAGCAGTGAATTCACATGAGGTGTGTGTGAGTTCCTTTCATTTACACAACAGGAACAAAAATGTGTTCCTTTCATTTGAGGGCAGTTGAATGAATATGGTGTGTATTGGCTGTGCAGTTGCCAAACCTCCCAAGAGAACTGTTAGCACCACATCTTCAGTGATATTTAACATCAGCCTAAATAAGGCAATGGTTTGGCATTCTGTGATCAGGGAGGAAAGCAGCCGTGTGGGGGGAGTGAGATGGGGAGGGGGGGGGAGAAAGAGGGTGTCCTGGGAGGGGAGAGAGTGAGGTGGGAGGGAGAGAGTGAGGTGGGAGGGAGAGAGGGAGAGAGTGAGGTGGGAGGGAGAGAATAAAGATTCCCCATTAATTACCCAGAAAAGTAAATGATCAACAACCGGAAATGAAGAGAGAGAGAAACGCGGGAGTAAAGTCAATGGGAAACTGTTTGATGTTCACCAGTTACACTGACTCGAGGCTCAGCGACTCCTAAACTGTCCTGAGACGCCTCCAGACGTGAAAGGCGCTTTACAAAATGTAAGTTTGTTGTTGTTGCCGTTGTTGTTGTGTGGAGTTTAGTAATGTATAAATGCAGGACATTTGGGGATTGAAATGGGAGTGAGTTCAGTTTTTTAAAAATAAACTGCATTTTAAAGAAAACATATGCTTTTGCTTTCTCTGCTTTATACATTAACACACGGGGGGGGGAGGGGGGGGACTTCCAGATTATATATTATATATAAAAAAGCAGGTTTCCATTCTCGGGAAAATGGGGGTAAAGTACAGAAGTTAAGTACATCTATTTCGATTTGTGTTTTTTTTAAAGTTGAGATTTACAATCGATCAGCAAAGTAACCGGAGAGACAATGTGCAGAGACTTTATACAGAAACTTATTTACACACAAACACATATACACACACACATATATATATATATATATAGAGAGAGAGAGAGAGGGGCGAAATTCAACAATTATACGCGAGGTTTCGTTGTATCACATCACAGATATCAAACGTGACCCAAAGTTCTCACTCTCTGTCACCCCCTCTCTCCCCTCCAGTTGCATATAGAGCTCTCATTTCTAAATACACCTTCAGCCAATTAACACCAATAATTAAAGTCACAACTAATAAAGTCACTTATTGAACCCGTCCAGAACAAACCAGATACAAATTCTATTTTATTAACATAAAAGGGAAACGTTACAACGTAACGCGACACTGATCGCAGTTTGTGGCTGAAAACAATTCTCGTGTTTATTACACTTTTCAAAACCACAAACAGAAACAAACAGCGTTGGTTTGGGATCAATTTTAGGCAATTTATTTGGGAGAGACGGGGTGAAGGGGGGGGATGGAGGAGGGAGAGGGGGTGGAGGGGAGGGGAGTGGAGTGAAGGAGGGAGAGGGGTGAAGGAGGGAGAGGGGTGGAGGGAGAGGGGTGGAGGGGAGAGGGGAGAGGGGGGGAGTGAAGGAGGGAGAGGGGGGGGAGTGAAGGAGGGAGAGGGGTGAAGGAGGGAGAGGGGTGAAGGAGGGAGAGGGGTGAAGGAGGGAGAGGGGTGGAGGAGGGAGAGGAGGGGAGAGGGGGGGAGTGAAGGAGGGAGAGGGGGTGGAGGGGAGTGAAGGAGGGAGAGGGGGGTGGAGGGGACTGAAGGAGGGAGAGGGGGGTGGAGGGGAGTGAAGGAGGGAGAGGGGGGTGGAGGGGAGTGAAGGAGGGAGAGGGGGTGGAGGGGAGTGAAGGAGGGAGAGGGGGTGGAGGAGAGGAGGGTGGAGGGGAGTGAAGGAGGGAGGGGAGTGAAGGAGGGAGGGGAGTGAAGGGGGAGGAGAGTGAAGGGGGAGGAGAGTGAAGGAGGGAGGGGAGTGAAGGAGGGAGGGGGGTGGAGGGGAGTGAAGGAGGGAGAGGGGGTGGAGGGGGGAGGAGGGAGGGGAGTGAAGGAGGGAGGAGGGAGGGGAGTGAAGGAGGGAGAGGGGGGAGGAGGGAGGGGAGTGAAGGAGGGAGAGGGGGGAGGAGGAGGGAGGGGAGGAGGGGGGGAGGAGGAGGGAGGGAGGGGGAGGAGGGGGAGGGGGAGGGAGGGAGTGAGGAGGGAGAGGGGGGAGGAGGGAGGGAGTGAAGGAGGGAGAGACGGGAGGAGGGAGGGGAGTGAAGGAGGGAGAGGGGGGAGGGGAGGGAGGGGAGTGAAGGAGGGAGAGGGGGGAGGAGGGAGGGGAGTGAAGGAGGGAGAGGGGGGAGGAGGGAGGGGAGTGAAGGAGGGAGAGGGGAGGGGGAGGGAGGGGAGTGAGGGAGGGAGGAGGGAGGGGAGTGGAGGAGGGAGAGGGGGGAGGAGGGAGGGGAGTGAAGGAGGGAGAGGGGGGAGGAGGGAGGGGAGTGAAGGAGGGAGAGGGGGGAGGAGGGAGAGGGGGGATTCCATGTCACATATACCTGGATGGTTTGACTCGGGTCTCCGGACACCGGACCCCCAACGAGTTTACAGTAAAGATCCTCGAGCGGCCGCTCATCTTCTCCACAAGTCGCAGACGCTGTGATTCTGGTGCCTTCCGCGAGGTTAAAGTAAGGCGGGTGGAGACTGTAGCCATTCACCCCGTAGGTGATGCCGCTCTGGGCTGAGACTCGGCGGCACAGGGCTCCGAGGGCCAGAACCAGCACCGCCGCCCCTCGGGGGCAACTCCCGACTGTGAGCATCGCCGGGACCTGAGCCCAAAAACTGTGGCACAACAGCTCAGAGCAAAGCTCCTCATCAAGTGATGATGCACTGAAACCTCCCTCCAACCCCCTCCCTCTCTCACTCTTCCTTCTCCCCGCCCCCCCTCCCCGCCCCTCTCTCCGCCTCCCCTCTCCCCCCTCCTCTCTTCCCTCTCGAACTCCCCCCCCCCCCCCCGCCTCAGATTGAGGCACATGCTGTGGGGAGGCTGTAAAGTTGCAGCAGGTTTGGCTGCATTGTAAAACTCGCTTTGCTCTGATTTCTCCCCTTCCACCGCTGATCACCGGAGGCTGAAACGTGTCCACGATGTGATAAGGCAGTATATCAAATGCAATTATTATTATTATTAAGTTACAACCCAATTCGCTGATCGGTAAACCACTGCCGTTCACAAACACTGCTCTGCTTCACTGACTGATTCAGACATGTGTTTTGGGTGTAATGAAGTATGCACCCTGACCCCCCCCCCCCCCCCCCCCCCCCACACACACACACACAGGGCAATCCTTCGTGCAGTATCTGGATTATTGAAGAGAATCGCTTTGAAGAGAATAAAATCCTTCCAGTTCCAATTCACTGCATCCAGATCTCTATCTCTTCCTCACTGCTAAAGATTGGGATGTGGGGTCAATCAGGAAGCCCTCCCCCCCTCAGCGTCTTGGGACGTCCTCCTGACGTGTAACAACAATAAGATTACATTTGTTTCACGTCCAGAGGACGTCCCAAGGCACTGGACAGTGTACAGCATTTCAGACCTGAGCTGGGGTCAGGGAGGGAGAAGGGAGGGGAAGGGGGGGCCAATGGCATGGTCGAAAAGGAGGGTTTTGAGGCGGAACTTGAAGGAGGATAAGGAGGGGGCAAGGCAGAGTGACTGGGGGATGGAATTCCAGAGGTTGGGGCAGGGTGGCTGAAGGCTCTCACGCCAATGGTGGGGTGGGTGGGGACGTGGAGCAGCCGGAGCCAACTGAGTGGAGGGAGCGGGCGGGTTAGTAGGGGGTTAGGGGGTCACAGAGGTAGGGTGGGGCGAGGCCATGGAGGGCTTTGTAGGTGAGGACCAGGATCTTGAACTGGATCCTGTGTAAGGCTCTATACACGTCATTTGTTGTTGGGACGTCCTCCTGACGTGAAAGGCGCTATACAAATGTAATCTTGTTATTGTTGTAAACCATCTAAATCAATCCATCACTTTGTTTATTCCAATGATTAATGTCTGTTTTTCAGAATTAGCCAACTGTTTTGTGGCTCCATAAAACACTGTTTTATGAGTTTTAACCCTTCACCCTCTCCACACCCTCTTCCGGCTCTCTTTCCCAGCTTCACAAACCTGCAATGCTGGCTGGTGCTTTCACTGGTGCTTGTTGGAAACATTCCTTTTACACCATAACATTTTTGCACAGCCCCAGAGCACCTTGACACCACGGGGTGTGAAGTCAGTTTCACAGGGTTACTGTATGCTGGCGTGAGATAATAATAATAATAATCCTTGCATTTGATATAGAGCTTTTCACATCTTCTTGACGTCTCAAAGCGCTTCACAGAATATACTGTAAAGTGAATTGACTATAATTGTGGGCGAACGCGGCAGCCAATTGCGAACAGCAGTGTCCCACAAACAGGAGTGGATTGAAAATGACCAATTTATTATTGTTTTGTTTTGGAGGGATTATTATTAGGTGTGTGGAGTAAGGATACTTGTCCAAGGTTTCGCCCTGCCTGGAATTGAACCCAGATCTCTCGCTTGCAAGGAGAGAGCTCTAACCACTGAGCTACAGGACTCCGCCTTTACTGTAACAGAGATGCACCTTTACCAAGGTGGATTGCTGTAGCCTTCAGCACATTAACACAGAAACAGTAAAATAAGCTAAAAATGTCTAGTGTTAAAAGCTGCAGAAACAGCACCACTCCACACACAACTGTCTGCCATACATCAACACACTCAGATCATAGCTGCCAATATATTGACCAGAATTCAAAAGAGAATTGGATATTTCCTTGAAAAGAAAAAATTTGCAAGGCTATAGGGGAAGAGCGGGGGAGTGGGACTAATTGGGTAGTTCTTTCAAAGAGCTAGCACAGTATGATGGGCTGAATGGCCTCCTTCTGTGCTTTGGGATTGTATGATTCTATGAGATTAACTCACTGACTGATATTTCTCTGGAAACCCATACGAGGTTACAAACCATGCGCTCCTTATCCTTAATTATTCTTACTTTGCACCAATGCTTTCAAAATTGTAACAGCCAGAACTATGAGATTGGTGGACTGTTTGTGGGACATTGTTGTGTACAATTGGCTGCCACATTTCACCCACAAAATATACGGTCAATTCACTTTACAATATATTCTGTGAAGCGCTTTGAGACATCTCAATGACCTGATAAGGTGCTATATTAAATGCAAAAATTATTATTATTATAATTATTATAGAATGCTTCAAACCTGTTGGCACCAGAGCTCCTAAGTCTTCATAAGAAAAATGAGTTAAATGAATTTCATTTTGTCTTGAGAGTTAATGTAATAATAATCCTTGCTTATTACATTGGGAGAGCATCTCAAAATGCTTCTCAGGATTTACTGTGCACAGTTATAACTGTGCCTTTTCTAGGCTACCATATAATTCGCTTTGTCTTCATCAAGGTAAAAAACATTAATTTTGGAAATGATAAAATTCTTCTACGTTTTGTAATTAACGTTTGTCACAGGTATGTGATGTGTTAAGTATGGGGTAAAGGATTTTCTACACTGCCCCTGTACAGAATATTCAGTTGCCGTGATGAAAATAGGCATTTTGAAAAATTCTATTTTGAAAATAATTCTTCAATTATAATGTGTCTATTTTAAATGCTTTGCTGAATAATTACTGCACCCTTCATTAAACTGCAATAAAATATTCCATCATGAAATAAAATTGAGCTTCTAATTACAGAGTGTATCCAGACAGACGCCAAGGAATGTATGATTTTTCATATTTTAATTCATGCTTCCATTTATTTCACTGGGATGAGCTGCTGCCTTTTTGACAAAAGGACTGTCACTGTGGAGACCAGGTAGTTATAGGTGAACACAGTAGCCAATTTGCGTACAGCTATAAAGAGAACGACCAGTTTTATCTGGAGGATTGATATCAGAACCCTTGGAGAAACTACCTTCTCTTTTCACAAAGAGCCATTAGAACTTTAACGTCAACTTGAACAAGCAAATGGGACCTCAGTTTAACATCTCATCAAAAGGACAGTGTTTCTGACAATGTACCGCATCCCGTAACAGTGCCTCATAGTGTCAGCCTGGAATACGATCTCAAAGTCCTAAAGTGGGGCATGAACCCACAATTTTCTGACTCTGGCAAGAGTACTTTCAACTGAGCTATGAGTATCAGGAGGGAAAACAAACAAGACGTTATACTGGATACATGTACACGCACAAAGAGTTTCAGCCACTTGAATAACTGAATCAGCCCAGTCAAAGAGAGAGCATGTTCTTCCTTTACAAATCAAAATATTTCAATGTGAAAATTGTTTAAGCTCAGCACCATCATAACTCACAACGATCACATTTCGGCATCAAGCTGTATTGAAACTCTAAAACCACAACCGCAACATTGTGAAGCAAGCATCAACTGTTTAGGTACGAGCAGATAAATGCTGTAGTTAGATCCTTAGTCATTGTCTCAAAAATGTAGTGACTGTTTATTTTGCAGACGGACTTACTTCAGTGTCAGCTGCGTGACATTCCTCCAATGATGTCTGGTTTCCATGCGCCTAGTTGTCCTCAAACACAACACAAGACCCTTTCCTGAGGGTCCTTTTTGTGGGTTGCACTGTGAATCACCATTATCAAAGAATGACTTGTAAATACACGACTTTGGACAAGTTGCTTAAAGTGACTGAATTAGATGTTTAGTTAAGAAATGATATGAACTATCATCATTATACAGTGTATGTTTTATGTACCCTTTAATGTATTTTGGCACTCATGTTGTAGCCTACATCATGGGTGGCTGATATTTTAAAAGGTGAGCAACACAGTTCCCCAAATAGCTCAGTTGGTTAATGAAGCACTTTATATCTGTTCCAACAACAAAGTTCTTTTATAGCCGAGAGCCCAGAGTGAGCTACGTCCGGAGTGAGGCGAGGCCAGAGTGTGAGGGAATTTGGTGAGAGTGGGAATTGCTGCTGTGAGTGTCGTGAGAACTGCTATCGTGAGTACATAACCCAATTTGTTGTTATTATTCAAGTCTTGTAGTAGTTGTTTTAAGTCTTGTATGAGTTAAAATTGCTGATACCATTGGTACATTGGTCTTGTGGGGTAACTTTAGAGGGAGCAGCTGTAGCCAATTAGGCCTAGCTAATAACAAGTAATTTATTGATTAACTTAATTTATTGATTAATCACTTGATTAGCTGTTAATTCCAAATTACTGCTGAGCAAATCAGAAACGGGTTGCACCCAGAAAGCATAAATAGGAGATAGCTGCGAGAGCCCAGAGTGAGCTACGTCCGGAGTGAGGTGAGGCCAGAGTGTGAGGGAATTAGATTTAGATTACTCATGAACAAGGACAAAGTACAGTCGAGGGTGAAAATGCTTAACTGGAAAAGAGCTAATTTTGATGGGCTAAAGTGGGACCTAGAGTTGGTGGACTGGCAAGTAAGAATGGCAGGTAAAACGACTCATGAGCAATGGGAAATCTTCAAAGATACGATAGCTCAGGATCTAAATAGATATATTCCCACAAAAGGGAAATGTGCGAGAACCAAGCCTGCTTGGATGACCAGGGATATTCTGTCTAGGATGAAAAAGAAGAAGATGGCGTACGACAATTGGCGGATGCAAGACACTGAGGATAGCAAAACGCATTATAGAGAATGCAGGAGTGATCTTAAAAGAGCGATAAGACAGGCTAAAAGATCGCATGAGAAGAGGTTAGCGGGTAACATAAAGGGGAATCCTTAAATATTTTATAAGCACATAAAGGGAAAAAGGTTAGTTAAAGGTAGGGT